ATTGCTTAAGCTCAGGAGGTTGAGGCTTCAGTGAGCCATGATTGCACCACTGCATTCCAGCCTGGGCAACAGAGTGAGACTTGTCTCAAAAAAAAAAAAAAAAGAAAGGAAAGGAAAGGTCATTTGGAATCCTTGTCCAGAGATAACCATTGTTTACAACCTGATGAACATTACTACTTTGCACATATTGTACGCATACATAATTATAGATTCACACCATTTTACATAAGATTATGATACATATATGCTATTCTGTAATCATTTCTTCCTCAACATTATTTTGGCTCAGAGAAATGTTTCTTTTTTTTTTTTTGGACATAGAGTTTCGGAGTTTCGCTCTTGTCGCCCAGGCTGGAGTGCAATGGTGCGATATTAGCTCACCGCAGCCTTTGCCTCCTGGTTTCAAGCAATTCCCTTGCCTCAGCCTCCTGAGTAGCTGGGACTGAGTAGCCATGCGCCACCACGCCTGGCTAATTTTGTATTTTTAGTAGAGACGGGGTTTCTCCATGTTTAGTCAGCCTGGTCTCGAACTCCTGACCTCAGGTGATCCACCCGCCTTGGCCTCCCAAAGTGCTGGGATTACAGGTGTGTGCCACCGTGCCCGATCTGTGAGCCACGTGCGCAGCCTGAGAAATGTTTCTAAGGAGATCTTATTTGGTCTGGGGACCATGAATGATTATTTTGACCACTTTTGATTCTGGAGACTCCATTTGGATCAGGCATGGTCCTCCAAATTCAGGCTTCTGAAAGCCTGTACCTCAGCCTAGGCTTGATGATCCATGAAAGATGTGGTTAGGAGCGCAAAGATGACTTGCCTGTGTTGTTACACAGATGTAAAACGTAACAATCAACAAAAATGTAGCAAAGTATGCATGTATACATTTTCTCTAAAGATACAGTGTCTTTTTTCCAAAAATAAACACATTAGGCAGGTGTGATGGTGGGTGCTTGTTATCCCAGCTACTCAGGAGGCTGAGGCACGAGAATCTCTTGAACCTGGGAGGTGGAGGTTGCAATAAGCCGAGATTGTGCCACTGTACTCCAGCCTGGGCGATAGAGCGAGACTCAGTCTCAAAAATAAATAAAATAAAATAAAATAAAATAAAATAAAATAAAATAAAATAAAACAAAACAAACACTCCTGGCCAGTGGCCGTGGCTCAAGCCTATAATCCCAGCACTTTGGGAGGCCTGCGCCAGGTGGATGGCTTTGAGTTCAGGCAGTCAAGACCAGCTTGGGCAATATGACAAGACCCCTGTCTCTACTAAAAATACAAAAAAGTAGCCGGCCATGGTGGTGTGTGCCTGTAGTCAGCTACTTGGGAGGCTGAGGTGGGAGGATTGCTTGAGCCCTGAGGGTGGAAGTTGCAGTGAGCTGAGATTGTGCCATTGCACTTCAGCCTGGGTGACAGTGAGACCCTGTCTCAAAAAATAAAATAAAATAGATACACACTCCTATAAAGGATCCTCTTAGTTCTTTTTCTAACACCTAACCTATATTTTCTTTTTTTTTTTTTTTGAGGCGGAGTCTTCACTCTGTCGCCCAGGCTGGAGTGCAGTGGCACCATCTCGGCTCACTGCAAGCTCCGCCTCCCGGGTTCGCGCCATTCTCCTGCCTCAGCCTCCCGAGTAGCTGGGACTACAGGCGCCCGCCACCGCGCCCGGCTAATTTTTTGTATTTTAGTAGAGACGGGGTTTCACCGTGTTAGCCAGGACGGTCTCGATCTCCTGACCTCGTGATCCGCCCGCCTCGGCCTCCCAAAGTGCAGGGATTACAGGCGTGAGCCACCGCGCCCGGCCTAACTAACCTATATTTTCATATTTATTTCAGTTACTCTACAACTGTTCATTGAGCTGCTGCTGAATAGGGGAAATAAGGCAGATAACGACTGCCATCTCCGCTGGGCTTAGGGACGATACAGACATTTATCTGGGCACTTTCATTATAGGCAATGAGAGCTGTGAGTGGGGAAAGCACGAGGTTGGCAGAAGCATTTAGGTGGACACAGCCATTCTCACAGAGGGCAGAGGTCTAAAGCGAAAGCTGAAGAAAAAGTAGGAACTGGCCTCGTGGAAAGGGGAAGGGAGATGGGACAGCCTGGTGGTTTGTAGCCCACCAGAAGGAGTTCTGAAAACTGGTGGTCAGGTGAGAGGGAAAGCCGGGGAAGAGATGGGCACATTGGCCAGAGGGTAGCAGGGGCTCTCCAGGACCTAGTGAGCCAAGCCAAGGAATTTAGGCTTCAGCCTGCAGGGTGATGAATAGGGCTGTCTATTCCATTTCTTTCTTTTTCTTTCTTTTTTTTCTTTCTTTCTCTTTTTGAGACAGCGTCTTACTCTGTCGCCCAGGCTGGAGTGCAGTGGCATGATCCTGGCTCACTGCAACCTCCACCTCCCTGGTTCAAGCAATTCTCCTGCCTCAGCCTCCAGAGTAGCCGGGATTATGGGCGCCTGCCACCATGCCTGGCTAATTTTGTATTTTTAGTAGAGGTGAGGTTTCACTATGTTCGTCAGGTTGTTCTTGAACTCCTGACCTCAACTGATCTGCCTGCCTCAGCCTCCTAAAGTGCTGGGATTACAGGTATAAACCACCGTGCCTGGCCTGAAAATTTCTAGTTTATGATACTTGCCAGCAGAATGTGTTCTGTCACCCTCTTCTGAACAGATACGGTTGTCTGCTATGACTACTCTCACCCCTGCCCTTCCCCCTGAATCCCACAGATGAATTTCTTTTAAAATATGATCTTGTATACAATGGATGTAAATATTTAATCTTTCTATTTGTATGTTTTTCCATGTTTCTTTTATTTTCTTTTTTCTTTTCTTTTCTTTTTTTGAGATGGCGTCTCCCTCTGTTGCCCAGGCTGGAGCGCAGTGGTGCAATCTCGGCTCGCTGCACCCTCTGCCTCCTGGGTTCAAGGGATTCTCCTGCCTCAGCCTCCTGAGTAGCTGGTACTACAGGTGCCCACCACCACGCCCGGCTAGTTTTTGTATTTTTTTTTTTTTGTATTTTTCAGTAGAGACGGGGTTACACCATGTTAGCCAGGATGGTCTCGATCTCCTGACCTCGTGATCCACCCGTCTCGGCCTCCCAAAGTGCTGGGATTACAGGCTTGAGCCACCGCGCCCGGCCTAGTTTTTGTATTTTTAACAGAGACAGGGTTTCACCATATTGGCCAGGCTGGTCTCGAACTCCTGACCTTGTGATCCTCCCACCTCGGCCCAAATCCCAAAGTGCTGGGATTACAGGCATAAGCCACCGTGCCCGGCCTCTATGTTTATTTTCTAGTTGCCTACTTGTCCTTTTGTGTTTATCCTTGTTAACTACTACTGCCAGGCTTAAAGTATAGATCCCTAGAGGGCAAGAGTTGTATCTATATAAAATGTACTGCAAAACATCTACTTAGTCCTCACATTCTTAAACACAAATTACTTTTGAAGATGATTGTTCTGTTTGTTTCCTTCCTGGTATTTCCTTTAACTTTCCCACCAAACAGGTACATGATATACATTACTGAAATAACTTATATAGCAATATGAATTTCTTTTTTTTTTTTGAGATGGAGTTTCGCTCTTGTTGTCCAGGCTAGAGTGCAATGGTTGATCTTGGCTCACTGCAACCTCCGCCTTCTGGGTTCAAGCGATTCTCCTGTCTCAGCCTCCAGAGTAGTGGGGATTATAGGCACACGCCACCATGCCAGGCTAATTTTTTGTATTTTTAGTAGAGATGGGGGTTCGCCATGTTGGCCAGGCTGGTCTCGAACTCCTGACCTCAGGTGATCTGCCTGCCTTGGCCTCCCAAAGTGCTAGGACTACAGGCGTGCACTACCCTGCCAGGCAAATTTGAGGTGGAGGTTGCAGTGAGCCAAGATTGCATCACTGCACTCCAGCATAGGCGACAGAGCGAGACTGTCTCCCACTTCAGCCTCCCAAGTAGCTGGGACTGCAAGCATGTGCCACCATGTGTAGTTAATTTTCTTTGGTATTTTTTTGTAGAGATGGGGGTCTCACTATGTTGCCCAGGCTGGTCTGGAACTCTGAGCTCAAGTGACACACCCACCTTGGCCTTCCAAAGTGCTAGGATTACAGGCGTTAGCCACGATGCCCAGCCTACAGTGCAACTTTAATAATAACAATATGAACACAAAAATTATAAGATCTAAAATTTAAGCTTTCAGTAGGCCTTTTTTTTTTTTTTTTTTTTTTTTTTGGAGACGGAGTCTCGCTCTGTCACCCAAGCTGGAGTGCAGTGGCTGGATCTCAGCTCACTGCAAGCTCCGCCTCCCAGGTCTATGCCATTCTCCTGCCTCAGCCTCCCGAGTAGCTGGGACTACAGGCGCCCGCCACCTCGCCCGGCTAGTTTTTTGTATTTTTTAGTAGAGACGGGGTTTCACTGTGTTAGCCAGGATGGTCTCGATCTCCTGACCTCGTGATCCACCCGTCTCGGCCTCCCAAAGTGCTGGGATTACAGGCTTGAGCCACCGCGCCCGGCCTCAGTGGTCCTTCTATAACTGTGAAAGTTTGGTTCCTAAAAAGCCTTGAGGAATTTATGGGAAAACAAAAGAGACAGACATCATTTACTAGTGAACCTGTGCACTCTAAATAAAGACAGTATCAATGACATTTTATAGGCCTTCAATTACTAAGAATGAATATTGGACTATGATTTTTTATTCACTGTCACTTGTTTGCTAGATGCTTTGACAATCTTCCTTGCCTATTGTTTCCTGAGATGTTGGTTTTTCTGTGTCACAGATAACAATGTTCATTACCTCCCCATTAAAAACTGCATATATATATATATGATTAAATGATTACTACATGTGCTTTGAAATATTCAACTATTATAGACAGTAAAAGTCCCTTGTAATTCAACCCTTTGCAGATGATTGGTTAACAGGTTACTGCACATCTACCTAAATTTAAAATCCCATATTTAACATGTATACTTATCAGAAAGTACTCATTCTAATATTTTTCTATGGCATTTGGTACTATTTCCAGATGCTTCTGCCTTTTTGGTTTTATGATTTTGAAGGACCTCAGCTCCCTGCCTCCTAGATTTTTGCCACTGTGGTCTCAGAGCTGTGTAATTTGGATGACTGAGATGGAAAAACCTCTGGAAAACCTTTATTTACGTTGAATAAGTATTCCTTGAATCCTTCCTCAGCATCCTGGGTTATATTTGTTTGCTCTGCTCATGATACCTTCATGCCAAGGAGACTGCTATCAATTCTCTTAAAACAGATCCCAACTCCCTGCTCATAGTGGCCAAAGGAATGGAGATTTAAGGCTGAGTTTACTTACCTGCATCATCTTCATCTTTCCAGGAAGCATCACTGCACAAACCTCTGTTTCTACACTTCCATTCAATCAGCTCACTTTTCTGCTCTTGGTACCCTTCGTTTCTTGTGAACTCTCCAGCAGGAGTGACTTGCAATTTGTATACACTGACATTTAAGTTCTTGGAAGTGCTGGAGAAGCGTATCAAAGTAAATTATCCTGATGTATAATTTTGTGCATGTAAAACTCACAGTGGAAGTGCCTGTTCTAATTTCAGTACGGAACACAGATAAACATTTGGATTAATAATCCAGTTTTGAAAGGGTACTTTATTTAAAGTACAATGTGCTGAAAAAATGAAAAAAAGAAAGGGTGCTTTCAAATTTGTACCTAGTAAACTTTCACTAGATCACATCGTATGTTTATCACGAGTCATGTATGTGTTGTATTTCTATGTGTAATTGTCAGGCACTTTTAATTTCTAGTTTGCATTTACCATGCCAGCCTCCTCCTCAACCCCAAATTTCCTTTGGTTATAAATTTAGTAAATTTGAAAGAGCCAGCAGGGATTAAACCCTGAAGGAATTCAAATGACTCTCTGACTTTATTCCTCATTTCAGTCGTTTCAAAAAATTATGCTTTCATTTAGGATAGGCTCTGGGAATCAAAGTGTGTATATTTTGCCCAAGTGGAAGACACAGTTTAAAGTTAACATCCTAGCTACTAGAAGGGAAAGCGAACAACATCGCTGGAAAAGGAGCCTATCGTTTTTACCTTACACTAAAACTACATTGCGAAGATCAAAAGAAATCAGGATGAGAGTGTGCCTCTTAATGCCAGGCCCAAAGTAGATGCTTATTAAATGAGTCAATCCTTCACAAATGGTTGATAGGTCTTACTATTTCTCCCCTATTCAAATCTAGAATTTGTTCACTCCCATATACTAATCGATAGTGAAGGGAAAGCACAAAATAGATCATCGTCCAAGCATCAGGTATTAGCCTGAGAAATCCAGAATCCCATATTTGTAACTGTCCTCCTTGAGAAAGTGCATTTTTCAGGCGGATTCTAGCCCCATTTTTCTTTTTACTATTTTTACATATTATAAGAGATGGCTTAGAAATACTTTGAAATTTGCCTCTTCGTCACAACACACTGAACGTTAAAATCAAGTGGTTGGGTTTTTATTGGCTTATTTTGTCTTTAACCGTTTTATTTCTCGAGCTGTCATCGTTCTTTTCGTATTACATCCTTATGAACCTTTTCTGGATTAAAAAAATGACGTTATAATAACGAAACTCTAACTGGCGTTGGATTAGGACGAAGTTGACTCCATTCCTTTTCCTCCCCGTAGTGTGGGCGCTACGAGGAAAGACCTCCGCGAGAACCAGCGAAGCCCGGGCTGCCCTTGCCGTGCGGGCGCACACTTGCTCCCCGCGCCGGGCTGCCCCGGGCGGCCGCGGCAGCCTCGGCGTGTGTCCGCGGCTCCCTCCCGCCCTCGCCCGCAGTCCCCCGATCCCGATCCCGGATCTCTGGGTCCACAGCTTGGCTCCCTCCCGAGCCGGAGCCGGAGCCGGAGCCGGAGTCGCGGCTGGGCCCGGCCGCCGCGTCACAGGGGGAGGGAACCCGGGGGGAGGGGGAGGGGCGGTGAGGTCAGCGGCGGCGGCGCGTCCGCGGGCGGCGGGAGCGGCGCATGCGCGGAGCGAGGCCCGTGAGTGGCAGCGGCGGCGAGCGGGGGGCGGGCGAGGGGCCGAGAGTGGGGGAGCGGGCGGGGGCCGTCGAGGCGGCGGTGTGTGGGCGCGACGGCTGCGAGTTGGAGAGGTCTGTGGTGCGGGTCGCCCCGGGGGAGCCCCGGCGCGGGCCTCGCGCGACGGCCACGGTCGCGCGGCGTGTGTGTGGGGTCCACGCACACCCGCAAAACTTCCTCCTCCCCTGCTCCGGGAGAGCGAGCGAGCGTGTGTGAGAGAGCGAGTGTGAGGAGCGAGCCGCGGCCCGGCGCCCAGCGCCGCCACTGGAGCAGCTGTCAAAACTTCGCCGCCGCCGCCCGGGCCTGACGGGCCTGACGCGCGGGGGAGGGGCGGCCGGCCGGGGCGCGACCCTCGCTGCCCCCGCCGGGCCCCGCGGCCCGCCCATCCCGCGCCGGGCCCCTTTCTCCTCCCGCCGCGGGCGGCCCGGGGGAAGGGCCGCGGCGCGGAGACCCCGGGGCCGCGCCCCTCACGCGCGACGCCCGCCCGGCTGCCCCGCCCCGCACCCGCCGGCCGCCCGCCCCGCACGCACCGCCGCCCGCCCGCCCCCGCGCCCTGCGCGCGGAGGTGCGCGCGCCCGCGCCGATGTGTGTGAGTGCGTGTCCTGCTCGCTCCATGTTGCCGCCTCTCCCGGTACCTGCTGCTGCTCCCGGGGCTGCGGGAAATGCGAGAGGCTGAGCCGGGGAGGAGGAACCCGAGCAGCAGCAGCGGCGGCGGCGGCGGCCGCGGCGGCGGGAGGAGCCCCCCAGGAGGAGGACCGGGATCCATGTGTCTTTCCTGGTGACTAGGATGTCGTCGGAGGAGGACAAGAGCGTGGAGCAGCCGCAGCCGCCGCCACCACCCCCCGAGGAGCCTGGAGCCCCGGCCCCGAGCCCCGCAGCCGCAGACAAAAGACCTCGGGGCCGGCCTCGCAAAGATGGCGCTTCCCCTTTCCAGAGAGCCAGAAAGAAGTAAGTTGAGTGCGAGGGAGCCAGGCCGGGAGCCAGCGGCGGCGCCGGGCCGGAGCTGTCACCGGGCGCCCGCCCCGCGGCTCGCGCCGGGCGGGGGTGGGGCGGGCGGGCGCGGGCGGCGGCGGCTCCGGCCGGCCGGCCGCGCTCGGTAGCGCCCTTCCGCGCCCGGCCTCCCCCGCTCCGCGCCGCCCGCCCGGGCTCCCGCCGGCGCCGGGCTCCGCACACTTTACTTTTCAGTCGGGCCTTTTCGCTGCGTCTTCTCCGCGAGTCTTCTTTTGGAGGAATTTCTCGTAGCCGCGTCTTGGCCTAGCTGGATCATTGAGAAAACAAACCCGGAGCGCGCCCAGGTAGTCCCCGGACGGACTCCGGGCGAACCGCCGAGCCGTCGGCGCTCGGGAAACTCTCGGAGCTGTCAAAACGCCCGGACCGGGTGGTCTCGGGGCGCGGGCTGGGGGCGAGAAGAAAGCGGCCGGGCGAGTGCAGCTTTTGTTTGTCAGCGACTTGCTCCTGGAACTTTTCCTGGTCCCAAACCTGTGTTTTCTTCTTTTGATGATATATTAGGAAGCCATTTGACTTCTTCCTTCCCCCTCCCCCAACACCCAGAACCGCACGCCCGGGCTCCGAAAGCACAACTTCTGTGGGATCCCATAGCTTCGGGGAACGGCCTGCCCAAGTTTTGGAGACGTAGCCAGTGTCCCCTCGTAAGGCAGAATACCAGGAGCGCTTATTCGGAGACAGTGCAGATGTAAATGTGGCTTCTCTCGTAAGTCTTAGCTGTAAGGGGCTTGGGAATAGGTTCGCCTGCCTTTGAGCATACAGTAGGGCTCGACACCAGCTTATTAGAGGACCAGAAATGTCTTACAGAACGGTATTTGACGGCTTTGCCTGTAAATTAAGAAGCCCGTTTTAGTGCCAGCGAACTGCTTGGCTTCTGTGGCTCTTGTGTGTGCCGTGGAAGAACTGTGACTGTCTCTCGAAGTTGTAGAATGGCGTGTGTGCTTACTCATTTCATGATATGATATTTTCATTGAACTGTCGGGACTGGAAGGGTGCGCTGAGACGTGAAGGAAGCCAGCACGTTCATGGATAGGCTGTTTCTTTGGTTCGGGTGCATTCATTTAGTAATAATATTGTTGTTTGGTGATTTGTAGTAAAAATAGTAGCGTGAACCTGAGGCATAGCAGAGGTGGGTTGTGGGAACCCATTAAGCTCTTGACTTGAATGTGCTCTTTTCTTGCCCGGGTGGCCTTTTACTATAAAATGATTCAGGGCCTTCAACTTGCCTCCATATTTTATTGCTAGCTCTTACCTAGCTATGATAATCCTGAGGGAAGCGAGTACAGGATGTGTATACATTATTACGGTAGCTTCTTCGGGTTACAGAGTTAGGGCTTATTTACCATGCCACTTGCGTTGTAATATAAGGGCAAGTATAAAATACCCTTACTCTATATTAACTGAAATTTGGAGAAGGAAGTGGAGGTTTAAGTAATTTTTAGACGTCTAAGCCACTTTTGCATCCTTTAAAGCAACTCAGGACAAGCCATATTGGGGTTTTACCTTGATTGCCTCCCATTTCACTATTTGAAAAGCATTTCTTCATCTCTTACTGAACATTAATTTGCGATTATTGTTTTAAATTTGCATTTTAATTCTTACCCTAGAAAGAGTAGATTTATGTTGTCACACCCCACACCCCATACTCATGCACACGCGCACACTCACACGCACGCGCACACTCGCACACACACCCTACTTTTGAAATGAGCTCATTTGTATTAGTGCAGCTCCTGGGTGCACTGGACGATGAGGATATTACCACTTTATTATTTTAATTCTTAATCTCATATTATGAAGAAATAGGTAGCCTTTGGAGAAAATAAAAAATTTCTGCTGAATAACAGTGTAACCTAACACTATGAAACATCAAAACTTTTGGAAATATGTAGAACAAATGTAAGTCTTTAGAGAGCTTTTTCTTTTAGATTTGAAAACTAGTACTGCATTCTTTGTAGGAAAGTAAAGTCTACTGGTAAATTTGACAGGTCTAAACTTTTTAGAGCTTTTTTTTTTGAAATTGTGTCTTTTGAAGGGAATGGAATCTCCAGTTGTATTTAGAAACGTAAATGGAAACTAACAAATGAGTTGGAAAGCAAAGAGAAGGTTTTTCAGTTGTCTATCTCTATACTGTCTAAGAATCCATGCAGAAAAGACCCTGTAGTTGAGTAGTAAAGACTCTGAAAGTGAAACTTATGTGTAACCAGTGTAAATTACGTTTGTAATGAGTGAAATTATGTGAAATTGCAAATAATTCACCTGAGAAATGAAAATTAATCTTCTTTGCTAAATACCATAGAGGTATTTTAAGTTGTTAACGTTACTTAGATGTTCATTAACTTAGTGAGTTACATTAAGTAGAGAAGATGTCCTCTCCCCCCCCCCCGGCCCCCCGCCCCCCGCCATGAAGTCTTGCTCTGTAGCCCGGGCTGTAGTGCAGTGTTATGATCTAGGCTCACCACAACCTCCGCCTCCTGGATTCAAGTGATTCTCCTGCCTCAGCCTCCAGAGTAGCTGGGATTACAGGCAAGCACCATTGCACCCGGCTAATTTTTTGTATTTTTAGTAGAGACAGGGTTTCATCATGTTGGCCAGGCTGGTCTTGAACCCCCAACCTCAGGTAATCCACCCGGCTTGGCCTCCCAAAGTGCCAGGATTACAGGCGTGAGCCACCGCACCCGGCTGAGAAGATGCCTTTTGACACTAAAGTGGATTTGTGTATTTATCTTTGGCTTAAAAAAACATGCACCACCAATTACACTTTCCTCAAGTTTAAAATTTTAATAATTAGGTAAATAAAGCATTTTCTTGTCTTACAGTGTTAGCTAGATTGTTTTTGTGTGTTTTATCGTGAATTAAAAGCATAGCTGTGTAGTTACTGCTTTTACATTAACTATAAATACTTTAAAATTTTGTTTACTACCTAAAATCAAGAAATTTGAACTGAAGCTATTAATCTTAGAGTTGGAAAGGTAAGTACATAGAGATTTTCTGTTGTACAAATGTCAGATGGCACAGTGAAATTTACATTCATTTGAAAGTTCCCCTTAACTGTAAAGAATATCAAATTATTTGATAATTTGGAGTAGTTCATAATTTTTATCAGAGGCATAGGTCTTAACCATTAGCAAGCCTCTGTCAGAATATGCACGTATTAAAGATCTGATTATTTTTGTGTTAATGTTAAAAAATTTTTCTGAATATTTTATTTTTTCCATCTTTACACCTTAAATTCACATTACCAAGTTGGGAAGCCAAAGAAACAGTCTACTGTACTATGTTTCTTACCAGTTCATGAAAATTGATGTTAGAAATGGTGTGGGTGTGGGGGATAGGGGTGGGTGTACAGAAGCAGCAGGTGGTAGGGATAGGATTTCTGAAGCACTATCCTTGGCCCTTTTTGAGTAAACTCTTTATACCCTGAACCACTTTCTTTTCAGAGGGCAATTGCTATTATTAGAGAGCCACCTTAAGCGTTATTATTGTAGAAAAATTAGGCACCACCAGTGATTGCCATTACAAGGACCAGCAAAAATGGCTAGGTTGCTACTCCGTATTTGTAATGCCCTTCCCCCAACAAAATTTCTCATTTTCATAGCTGTGAATTTGAAATAAGTGATAGAAAACTGTACTGCATTACAATATATATCGTTTAATAAAACAAGTTTATAGTTGAGAGAGAACACTATTATTCATGCTTTTTGA